CAGGAAAGAAGCCCAGAAAGGTCCAACTAGCAAGCTGGGGTGATTTGAGCAAGAAATTTCAAGGTGCCAGGTACTCGGACTGTGGGCTAAAAGTGGGGAGGTGGGAGATAGGGGCTGGGTGGACAGGACCCCTTGATTTCAGAGACTTCCTGTCCCCTAGGAGGGGTACGGCTGGGGGAGAGTCCCACAGGGCTCTGTGAAGCCCACGGTCCAGAGCAGGGTCCCCATTTGCCCACGTCTAAGGCCGATGCTGCTGAAGAGTAGACACTGCCTGTCTGAGCCGGCAGCAGGAAGAGACAAAGCTGTACGCTCTGCCCAAGGTGTGCCCATGTCTGCACTGGACTGAAGGGAAGACTTGCTCCTTATAGAGCAGGAAAGCTCAGCTTTTACCTGCTCGTAAAAATAACATCCAATTAGACCACAGGAGAAAGCTTACACAAGGAAGCTGCAACGAATAATGGAGATACGATGCTCTCTCCTGTTGGCCAATGACCATCATTGCAAAGTCGACTGCTTGCCTGGCAAGATTTATAGAACTGGGGATATGGCTTCCGGGCCCAATATGGTAGCTAATGAGCATTAAGAGGTTGAGCAAGTCACTTTGCAGTGTGTCCTCCTCTGTCCAATAGGGATTATTCTTGCTCAATCTCCTTCTACTTGCAAGAGGTTGGATTCCTTCACTGGATATGAATTTTCTCTTCCAAAGCTGACTGGCCAGCTCAACATAACCTCGCTGCACCCTTCACTAAAGTCAGGAAGAGAAATGGCCAAGCTGCCTCCTGCCAGATGAGTGTCCAGGCCGGGGACTGGCTGAGAGGGAAGATGGCCCGGCCTTTCTTGGAAACGGGGGCAGGGCAGCCAGCACCTGTCCGTCAGCACCAGGAGGAATGGGGCAGCGCATCTGGAGAGCAAACCCTACACCTCTCCACCAGCAGGCGGCCACTTGCAGGGAGGACTTCTGTCATTTACATCTCACTTAGCTCCCAGGGACAAAAGCAGGCAGGCCAGGGGCAGCTTCCAAGCACTCGCTATATGTGGACTGTGCTGGGCGCATTCAGTTGGGGGCGTTGAGAACGGCACCAGGTGTTAGACCAGACGGGTCAGACCAGACCTGGGTTCAGCAACCTCGGTACTTGGGTTCTGGCTAGGAAAGAATTCAGAGCCAAGACTTAAGGTATAAGAGAACGTTTACTTAGAAGATCACAGGGGTAGGAGAAGTAATTGGCAGAAGAAATGGGCTTAGTGAATAAGTTATAGAGGCAAAGGAAGGGCCCTTGGAGCTTAGAAGTGAGGGAGGTGAAGGTGATGCACCTGGGGGGAGGGGGCGGGAGGTGGAGGTGGGGGGAAGAGTGTTGGCACCAGGGCAGGGGGTCTTTATTCAATGCAGCTGGTTCTGAGAGCATCCATGGTGTGGCTTGTCTGGTTTTGCTACTTTTCTGGGCCTGGAGCTGAAAAACAACTGAGGCCTCGATGTTATCTCTAGGGAGGAAAGGTCAGGCGGTCGAAATGTAATGACCAGCCATGTGCTAGGGGAGAAGAGGTCACCCTGGGGGCAGGTTCCACCCTACAACTGTCCGTTGCTAGGCACCTGGGCTTCCCACCCTGCTGACCTTCTGCTCCTGGCCCATCGTCCTTGCTCTGCTCACGTCTGTCTAACTGCCTCCCACGGTTAGTGGATGAGAGGACTCAGGACACAGAACGGAGGAGTCCTTTACAAAGCAATGTGTCCACACAAGCCTGTGTATGGGTCCGTACTAATGACTGCAGTTATTGAGTATCAGAGTGTCAAACTTTATAGATTTGATAGAACCCTCATCAAAATCCCAGCGGACTATTTTGAAGAAATAGACAAGATTTTTTGAAAAATGTATATGGAAAAGCCAGTGTTCTAGAATAATCAAAACACTGGACAAAGTTGGAGAATTTACACTACCTTATATCAAGACTTCTTTTTAAAAAAATATATTTTTATTGATTTCAGAGAAGAAGGGAGAGGGAGAGAGAGAGAGAGAAACATCAATGATGAAAGAGAATCATTGACTGGCTGCCTCCTGCATGCCCCCCCACTAGGGATTGAGCCCACAACCCGACATGTGCCCTTGACCAGAATCAAACCTAGGACCCTTCAGTCCGCAGGCCGACGCTCTATCCATTGAGCCAAACCGGCTACAGCTATATCAAGACTTCTCATAGCCCTTGCCAGTGTGGCTCAGTTGGTTGGAGCGTCGAGTCCCATGCAGGTTTCGGGTTTGATTACCATTCAGGGCACATACCCAGGTTGTGAGTTCAATCCCTGGTTGGGGCGTGTACCAATCGATGTTTCTCTCTCTCTCTCTCTCTCTCTCTCCTTCTCTCTGAAGACATACTAGTATCCTCGGGTGAGGATTTTAAAAAAAGACTTACTATAAAGCTACAATAACTAGGACGTTGTGGTATTGAAACCAGAACAAAGTCCTGCTGCTGGTGGCTACTAGAGTCCATTAAGTAGAGATGGGGTTGAATCTTCGTGGTGCTGTTTATTATTCAGGTGGCCGGCGGTCTGAGAGAGCGACAGGTGCAATACCCTGAAAAGACCACTCCGACACTTCATTTCAAGCCAGCCCTTATGTAGGGTTAGGGGGTGAGGGGTGGGGATGGGGGGACTAACACTAGTGAATTCCCACGGTCTGCTTTCCATCATCATCCTTGTAGAGATTAGCCCAGAACACTGTCTCTCCCTTCAGTTAGTCCTGTCCTTGACTCGCACTTAAAGTGTATCTTCTTTTCTGAGTAACGGACCATCTGGGCTTGGAGGCCGCCTTATCTTTATGGCCCTGTTTTTCTTCTTGCAAAACATCCTCCAGTTTACCAGAGTCTATAAGAAAAAGCCCGTTTCTATTGTTAGTGTAGTGAATCGCTATTAAGCTATAATTCTGCTTCTATCACATGCCCTTCCCCTAGCAGTACTGGTGTAAGGAGAGACAGATAGATCGAGGAAACAGAATCGAGTCCAGAGATAGATTCACACGTATACAATCAATTGATTTTCTACAAAAGTGATGAGTAAGTGAATAGGGAAAGGGGTGTTTTTTGAATGAAAGTTGCTGGAACAACTAGAAATCCACTTGTGGGGGGTGGGGGTGGGGACAAATCTTGACCCTATCTGACTTTATTCACAAAATGAATTTGAGATGGATCATGGACCGAACCTAAGACCCCAGGACTGTACGGATTCTTGAAGAAAACGGAAGACCATCTTTGTGATGTAGGAGTAGGGACAGATTTCCTTGGGCAAGATACAAAAAGAAAAAACTGAAAAAAAAAAAAGTGTCTTCATCAGAATTTATCCAAAGACACCATTAAGAAAATGAATCCAAAATCTGCAGACCTGGAAAAAGATCTTTGCAGCAGAGAAAGGATTTTATATCCAAGACATATAAAGAACTCTTACAAATCAACAATAAAAAAATATAAACATTCCAATTACAACATGGGAAAAGACCTCCACCGACACTTTATAAAGCAAGACATTCAAACGGCCAATCAGCAGTTTTTAAAAAATGCTCAACCTCATTCGTCAGCAGGGAAACGGCACTTAAAACCACAGGGAAATACAACTTCACACACACTAGGATGGCAGAAATCAAAGACTGGTGCTCTGGTTCTCCAGTGCCGCACAACTTCATCACACGAAAATGTAGTAACTTCAATAACAACAGCCATTTCGTTATCCCTCACAATCCCTTGGAGTTAGGAATTCAGGAAGGGCTGGGGTAGGGCTGGCCTGGGGCCTGCAGCCGCTGGGGGCACCTCCCTTCACGTCCTAGGGTCTCTCTCTGTGGTCTCTTTGGGCTCCCTCCAGGTCTAGCGGCCTCAGGGTGCTCAGACTTCTTCCCAGGAGGCTCAGGAGGCCGGGAGCAAGTCTTCCAATAATGAAGTGGATGCTGCATTACCTTTTATGACCTAGCCTAAGGAGTCACAGTGTCACTCCCACCACACACTGTTAGGAGTGAGCCAACCAGCCCACTCAGAAGGGGAGTGGAGTTGACTGCCTCCTGATGTGGAAATGGCAGAATTCTAGAAGAGCGTGTGGGATGAGAGATGTTATTCCTGCCATTTTGGGGGATCTATGTATAATCTGTGGTGAATAAACCTGGAGAGAAACGCCAGGCTTTGTGAGCCACACTGAAGTTCAATCTTGGTATGAATTGTGAGGGGGCCCCATTGGAGGGTTTTAAACTATCCGTCTTCAAAAATTAATTCTAGCAGCTGAGTAGATAAGGAATTCTTGGAGAGAGTTTGGAAGTAGAGATCATTTAGGAGAGGTGTCCGGACGTTAGACGTCCAAGTGCCAGACACTGCGGTCAGCCCCAACCTAGCTGAGCGGGTGGGGGGAGGACCGCCAGGTGTCTGCCGGTCCAGCTGTTCTCTTCCGGAGAGCAATGAAGTAAGTTTATTTTGCACATCTTGGGCTTGGAAAGCCAGGGTAGATGTACGATCCCGGAGCGCGGAGGACATACACTGAGGCGAGAACAAACAACATTTGAAACGGTGCTGGAGTATACGAGTATTGACAATCTCTCACTCTTCCCCATTGTGCCAAGGGCTCAGACTGAAACGCGCGTGCGCACACCTAGTCCGCGGGCGGCGCCCAGGCTGAAGCTTCCTGAATGCGCACGCGCGCGCGCTGTGTGGCGGTCGCCATGGAGACGCGTGGGTCTGGTCAAGCACTCAGCGCCTGGAGCCGCCAGCTGGGCTGCAGC